TGGCTTCTGGGGAAGCTCCGGGGCTTGAAGGCAGAGGGGAGCTACCGGTGCTCAAGCCTTGCCGTTCGCGTTTTAGCAGCGGTTCTCCGGCTTCTGTCAGAGAACCTCGCGTTGCCCTTCCCTCGCAGGGCTTCCACGCGCCCCGTTACCCAGCAGCCCGCCGAGCCGCGAGGTCAGGCGTGGGAGCTGCGGGATCCCAGTGCTTGCTTCCAGGCAGCAGCCCCGTTCTTCCCTCTTAGGGTCGCTGAAGTCTGTTACCGAAGGGTGGCTGTTGCCGTGTCCTGCCTGGGAAGGGGAGGAGGAGTCAAGCAACCGCCAGTGTTGACCCAGTGTTTATTTTGAGACGGTTTCTGCTCTCTAGACAAAGCCACAGATGAGGGGAGGGAGGACTAGAAAAGAAGGGAGACCCTCTGTGCTGCTGGGGTGAGCTGCAGACAGGACGCGGTGCAGAGATGGGTCGGTCTCACGGTGGATTCCAGGGATCGAGCTGGTCTGGCTGCTCTCTGCTCGGGGACAACCACTGTCTGCTCCCTCCAGCCTTCCCTCGCGTTGAGGCAAAGACCCGTGCTCACCAGTCTCACCAGTTCCAGCATTCATCTGGTGGGGCTGTGCCGGGGCTGGGAACTGGGCAGGAACCGGGAGGAGGCTGCTGGGTGCTGCCTCAGCCCAGCGGGAGCTGCGAACCTGGAAGGTCCTTGGACTCGTCACCGTTGCTCTGGTGGTGCGTGGTGAGGGCTCTGCCTGTCCTGTCCTGGGGGGCTGGCTCTGCGTTGGCCCATGCCGAAGGGTCGCTGCCGGCCCCGCGACCCGGGAGCTCTCTCGTGATGCCGTGGGTCTGCCCCGAGGACGTGTGCGGTGTTCGGGTTCCTGTGGAGCGGCCCCGCTGCGCATTGCTGCCGTGTCCGTGTTGGGCAAGGCAAGAAGAATTTGCACACTTTTATCTGGTTCCTGGTGCGGGGTTTGCCGGGCTGTTCCCGGGCAGAAGGCAGCTGGTTCCTCTCCCCTGAGCTTGGAGAAAGGGAGATGATTCACAGAATCGCAGAATCCCAGCATGGTCAGGGCTGGCAGGGCCCTCTGTGGGTCACCCAGCCCAACCCCCTGCCCAAGCAGGGTCACTCAGAGCAGGCTGCACAGCACCGCGTCCAGGCGGGGCTGGAATATCTCCAGAGAAGGAGACTCCACAGCC